TAGTTCTTAATTCATCCATTTCAATCTTATCTAATAAATAGGTACAATCTAAAAGAAAATTAAATACCAAAAACAAAATATTCTCGCACACAATCTTCCTCATAAATCCCAAACCAGATGTTGAGGTTATGTCTCAGACTGGTAGAACCAAAACTTAAATTAAATCTTGTCTTTTGCACAACCTTTACACCAAACACCAGGAACATTAAAGAAATAATTTTAAAACATTGGCATATCCTTCAAAGTGATCCAAACTTACCAGGGATTTTTAAAGAACCACCAATGATTAGAGAGGTAAAAACATTAGAGATATGCTTGACAAAGCTTTCCAGGACCCTAAAATTCCAGAAATAACCTTGATAAGTCATAACCTACAAGATAATTTCAAATGTGGGTCTTGCATAAACTGTCAATACACAAAAAATTTAAAATGATTTAAACACCCTATTAGTGGCAAGCTCATTGACATAAAGGGTTTTATGACTTGCAAAACTAAAAATGTAATCTAGATGACACAGTGCCCATGCAAAAGAAACATATAAGAGAAACATCCTGGCTTCTAAAAGAATGAATTAATGAACACAGAAGTTTTATTAAGAGAAATTATTTAACCAGTCCTGTTGCAAGACATTTTAATTAAATAATTCACCTTTATTTTTTATAGGCATTAAACCTAGTCAAAGAGGTGGCAATATTAATTTTATCAGAAAAAAGAGAAGCATTCTGATATTTTGTTTGAATAGTTTACAGCCTACAGGTATGGATGAGGATTTATCTATTAATGAGTTTCTGTGAACTTTGATGGCTCTGATAACTTATCCAGGAGCTCATAAAAGATCCTAGAGAAACCACTGGTTTCTGAACTCTCCACTACTCAATAGACAAAATAAGGAATAGTAATAAGGAATAATAATAATAATAATAATAATAATAATAATAATAATAATAATAATAATAATAATAAAACAACATTGAAAATTTTGAACTCCTTTGGAAAAAAGCTGAGAAAATGCATATATTTATCTTACCGTGCATAAGAAGTCATGCAAGCATATAACCATGTTGTTTACATTACAGTGTAAACAGAAGAAAACCACTAAAAGTATTGTAGTTCATGCTGTCGTCATAGACAATCCTGTTCGCCTGGAGCTCCACATACACATTGTCTCCCACTTCGAGAGGGATGACCACAGCATTGCTACCCATGTCATTGGCATCACTTCCACTGGTATCCCAGACGGATGTCAGTCTTTTACCATTCTTCGTGAGGCTTACAACGGAGTTGGGAACAGAGTTGACGTTGTTAAACATTGAGAATCGAAAGAAGTACATTCCTTTGGTCATGGCTGTGAAAATCCCTGTCAAAAAATTAAAGCTGGTTAGATTTCACAGGTTTTCATGACTTTCTCTTTCTCCATGCAACACTTTCTCTGTTACAGAGATAATACCTGTTGAAGGATTGTAGCCACTGCCTGTGTTGGAGAAAATGTTCTTGTACCGCAGTGGAGTAGGACTGTCAAAAGGGCCAGTATTTCCAAAGCCAGAATCAAGGAGGGCTACAGAAAAGGCTACCTGAGGAATGCCTGAAAGCAACAAATTTAATAAGAATTTCCAGAACAAAATTACATTTCAATCTAACAATTAATCAAACCAGGTTGACTCATGTTACCTCCAATACGTTTCTGCAGATCCATGACTTCTTTTTCAGTTTTTTGAAGCTTGATCTCTAGAAGCGTTATTTTATCCCCAATGTTTGTGACTTTCTCTCCCACAGCTCCCAGGTCTTGAGTTATACGAGTGAAAGAGCAGACATCACAAATTTTGTTACAATCGGTTTTAATTTGAGAATCACAAAGACAGCTGCCGATTGCCAGAATGAGGACTGCAAATGACTTCATCTTTGCACTTTTGTGCTCTGCTTCTCTGTTCAGAAGTCCTTGACTTTTATCTCTTCAGAGATGCAAAACAGGATGTGGCCAACTGTAAACATTAAAACAAGTTTTACTGGTCAGATCATTAAATACATCAAATATTAGCTTGAACATCCTGGCCACTGATGTCAAAACACAAACTCCTCACAGCGCAATCATTCCATCCAATGTTCAGCACACTGAAACATAGAGGCAAGGGAAAGAGCTGTAGGACACAGATTAGTGAGTGACAAAGTCCTAATCCAGGACAAAACAAGAAGCATCCATTAGTACAAAGAAACAAACAAATATAAAAAGAAGTTATAAATGATATATAAATAAATCCCTCTTTAAAATCGTGTAATCATTCTACTGCACTTTTAAAAATAAGTTCAAGTTTATTCACTTGAGGTTACTTCATTTTTTTTTGAGAGAATGAATATTAATACTTTCTTAAGTGAAGGCAAGTTACAGTCACATTTTCCAGTGCAATACAGGTAAAGAAGAAAAAGCCATTTTAAGATATTTTAGTATCAGTCACTTATGAATCTACATTCATCTTTAAACTATTTTGAACAAAAGCTGGACGTCAATTTGAAAAGTTGGTAATAGTTTTTTTTTGTTTATTTTGTTTTTAATCTTTGCTATCAGTGATCTAACTTTTTTTTCAAAATTGCAAACACATGTTGTGTCAGACACATTTGAAGTCACTGGATTACTTTACTAGTGTCTGCTACCAAATAGTTTAACTAAACCAGCCATTTTGCACAGAAATTGGCTGCAGTTATGCTGGGTGTGAAACAGGGGGGAGTGCTTACTAGATACTTCTCAATGGTTAAGAGTGAATGGATCAAAATAAGTCTTTTTTTGTTTGTTTGTTTAAAAAACCCCTACTGAAAGAAAGAAATGAAATGGCAGGAATGCCAGAGGAGCAAAACACCAGCTACTGGTAGACATAACAGTTGCCCGAGACTGCAAGGCCAGACTGACCAACCAACCTTTGCGCTGCCTGGATTGATTACAAGAAGGCCCATGACTTCATGCCCCACACCTGGATCCTGGAATGCCTAGAACTGTACAAGATCAACAGGATCCTAAAAGCCTTCATCAGGAACTCAATGGGGGATGTGGTGCACAACACTAGAAGCCAACTTCAAGCCCATAGGAAAAGTCAGTATGAACCACACCATCAGGAACTACAGTAAGGACAATCGGAATGTCGTTCAGATTGGAGAAGTGTAGTTGAATGGTAATGTAGAGAAGGAAGGTAGTCAGAACTGCGGGGATTGCACTACCAGAAGGCAACATTGCTTTTGTGTGTTCCTCACCTGACTGCACGCTACTGTACATACCAGTTGGATTCAATCTGAATAAAGGAAAAGGGGAACCAGGGCCGATGTCCAGGTGAGACTGAGAAGGCACCGAAGATTAGCTTCTTGGTTGTGGGGAGATTCCTGGTGCCTGCAATCGGTTCATCTATTGACATCTGGTGGGGACGCCACCCTTCAGTCTGCAGCCTGGGATACATGGCTTAATGGCAGCATGCTCACCCTATGACCATCATCTGTCCGCCATTTTGCCAGCAGTAGCGATGTACCATCATGCACATTAGCATCGCCTAACTTCGGAGTCAACGCCCGGCATAGCAGGTGTACAGGTGTGCACAGGTGCTTAATTCAAGAGCCACTGCAGTCAGCTGTTGAGTGCGCCAACCAAGCGTCATCGATCCGGTTTGCCCTGCTTAACGCTTGCTCAATTACCAACAAATCATTTATTTTAAACCAGCGGTCCCTAACCTTTTTTGCGCCATGGACCGGTTTAATGTCAGACAATATTTTCATGGACCGGTCTTTAAGGTGTCATGGATAAATAAAACAAAATAAAATGATACAACCAAGACAAAAACTGCGATATTTTGTAAATATAATAATAAACACGAATTCACTGTGTAATTGTCTAACTTTATTAGCAGCTTCCTTCCGAAATGTGCCATCAACATTGAGAGTTTGCGCATTTAAAGAGGAGCATTTCCTCTCTGTCGCTTAATGCTCTCTGGTCGCTATGGTAACACGTAAACATTTCTTTCAAAAAAAGGCCCAGGGAAACCGAGTTAACAATCAAACCCCTGAAAACCATAAATTTCACACCCGAGCCTCAACTCTCTTTATGAAGGTATCTCTAAACTTCACGTGTTTGTAACCGAGAAGCGGCAGCAAAGTGACCTTCTGACATCCATTATTAAATTGGAGAAGGTTGTAATGCTGGGAGATCTAAACCTTCATATTGACGATGCATCCTGTAACATGGTTACTGACTTCATCACTGTTGCAGTCTTTTAACTTTAGGCAGCATGTTTCTGGCCCTTCACATATAAAGGGTCACACATTGGATCTTATTTTCTCCCTGGTGATATTATTCTTCCTGAGAATTCTCAGGAAGTACAGTCTCTTTTGGGCCTTCTTCAGTAGCTCAGAGGTATTTATACTCCAGGACAAGTTCTCCTCCATGTGGACTCGCAAAAAACGAAAGTCTGCCCACCCTCTCCACACAGTCTCCCTTTATAGTTAGGGGTGAAAACTCTGTCTTTTTCTTTTTAAAGTTCTTTGGTTTTTGAACTATTGAGAATAAGATTGTTGGTTTTGCACCAAGACACCAGTTGCTCCACTTCATTCCTGTAAGCAGACTCATCACCTCCGGAGATGAGTCCCACCACCATGGTGTCGTCAGCATATTTCACAAAATTGTTACTCGGATAGACAGGCTTGCAATTATATGTCTAAAGGGAGTAGAGAAGTGGACTGAGCACACAACCCTGGGGTACACCAACACTGAGACTCAGGGCAGAGGATATGTGCTGACCAACTTTCACTCTCTGTTTAAGAAACAGAGAGTGAAAGTTCTGGATCCATAAAAATGCAATTTATTTAGTATTTTGCACATCTTATAGCTTCAAAAAAGAAAAATCCTAAATTCTTGTTTAACACATTAAGGCTATTGTTTCTCCCAATGCTCCTCATGCACCAGTTTACTAAATGTCTGATTGTGGATTAGATTAGATTAGATAAAACTTTATTAATCCCTAATGTGGGTTCCTCCAGGAAATTCAGTTTCCAGTAGCACAGCACTGACAAAAGTTCCAAGTTACAGAGGTGGAATACCAAATAAAGGGAAATGAGAGAGTACTAGTATAAGCATAAATATAGCATATGTACATGTATACACATATATAAATACAGAATATATAATAGGGATAAATAGGATACATAGGAATACCAGTGGAATATATTCATTGATGAGATGTATTGTGAGTCTGTTGCACAGTGATTATTGCACAGTCTATTGTACAGAGATTGTTACACAGTCAAATATAAAAAATATTGCACAGTGAGAAGCACTAAAGCTTAGTTGTTCCCGCCCTCCTTTGTCCCCTTGTTTCCCCTCCCTCTCCCCTCCAGCGAGGAGTTAAACAGTTTGATGGCGTGTGGGACAAAGGGGTTTTAAAGTCTATTGGACGTAGACTTTGGAAGAACCAACCTGTCGCTGAACAGACTCCTCTGGTTGTTTATGGCTGTGTGCAGAGAATGCATTGTCAACATTGCCAACATTGTCCATAATGTCCAACAGTTTGTCCTTTTCTCTGCCACTGTCACCAAAGTGTCCAGTTTCATGCCAATCACAGAGCTAGCCTTCCTGATTAGTTTTTCCAGCCTGGATGAGTCCTTCTTTGTTGTGCTGCTCCCCCAGCACACCAAAGCATAGAATAGTACTCCGGCACTGGTAAAAAATCCTCAGAAGCTTCCAGCAGATGTTGAAAGATCTCAGCCTCCTGTGGAAATACAGTCTGCTTTAGCCTTTTTTATACAGGTGCTGTGTGTTTCATGACCAGTCCAGTTTGTTGTCCACCCACAGCCCGCAGTACTTGTACATGTTGACCACCTCCGCCTCCTCTCCCTCTATCTGAATCTGCAGTGGACCTGCTCTGGATCTCCATAAGTCCACAACCAATTCCTTGGTCTTTGAGGTGTTGAGTTTCAGGTGGTTTGTGTGACTCCATGTAACGAAGTTCCTCACCAGACTCCTGTACTCCCCTTCCTGATCATCAAAGATACACCCCATGATGGCTATGTCATCCGCAAACTTCTGAATATGGCATGATTCAGAGTTATAGCAGAAGTCAGAGGTGTGTAGAGTGAAGAGGGGACAGCACAGTTCCCTATGGTACTCCTGTGCTGCTGACCACAGTGACAGATGTGATGTCCTTCAGCCTGACGTACTGTGGTCTGTCTGTGAGGTAGTTGGAGATCCAAGCACACCAGGCAGGGGTCTACCTCCATCCTGTTCAGTTTTTCCTTGAGCAGACAGGGCCGGATTGTATTAAAGCCACTCGAAAAGTCAAGAAACAGGATTCTGACCATGCATTTTCCCTATTGCAGGGGTAAGCAGGCTCTGTGTAGGAGGTACAGAATGGCATCCTCCACTCCGACATCCTTGTAGATGAACTGTCGTGGGTCCTGGGCATGTTGTACCTGTGGTCGGAGAAAGTTGAGAAAGAGCCGCTCTAGAGTCTTCATAAGATGTAACGTCAGTGCCACTGGTCGAAGTCATTCAGCTCATTGGGAAAGTTCTTTTTGGGTTTCTGGAAACAGGAAAGATGAAAATATGGAATAAATTAATTAAATGAACTTCAAACACCCACATGACATCATACTAATGAATTGCATCAAGGTATAAATATCAAAAACTAATAGTAGTCAAGTAAGTCAAGTAATAAGTAACTAAACAGAGTAATGATAAATATACAACACAGTGACAAAATAAATGGTATTTTGATCATAATATATTAAAAATAATGTGATGTGAGTCATACCAGTCTTAACAAATAAAGAATGTGCAGTTCACTTACTTCCCCATGGCATCTGCTTCAGAGATAACCTTGGTTATTAGCTAATGGCTGGTGGGTAATGCAGTTCCAATCAGATAGCAGTTAC